AATCGGGCAGCAGCATCTCTGGCGATGCCTTGTGGGAAAGGCTAGAAGGGAGAGGCTGGGGTCCTGGAGTCCAACCCTCCCCTCGTGGCGCTCAGCCTGCTGTCAGCGGGAGGGCGGTCTTGGAAAAGGCTCTCCACATCCATAAAATGGGGATAATTACATCTGCCCTTCTCACCTCTCTGGGGTGTAGTGAGGCCCAAAGGAGACCAGGTATATGCAAGCACTTTACAGTAGGCTGACAAAAACTGTGCGAGTATGAAAGGCGTGTATAATACAAAGGCCAGAAAGAAGTCCTCATGGTCTGAATAATTAGCGCCCACCAGGCCCTGCAGAAGTCCAGGGGAAGGAAAGTGAACCGTCTTCTGTGAATTCCTCTCATGAGATGGCTGTGAGAAAGGGGAGGAGCCTGGCTTCCAGCCTCGGTCTCCTGCCCCAGCACCTCCCCACTCAGGGCTGTGCACGTGGCCAGAGCACAATCCGTGTTGTTGCAGGGGGTGTGGTGACAGACTTTGACGGAGATGGGATGCTGGACCTCATCTTGTCCCACGGAGAATCCATGGCCCAGCCGCTGTCCGTCTTCCGGGGGAATCAGGTGTGCACGGACCTCGGGACCCACGGGGCCCAGCCTGGTGTGGTCCCCTGGGCCGAGGGTGGAGGAGGCCAGAGGAGCCCCCAAGGCGTGGCAGGGGATGGACATCTGGGGCCTGGAGGAGGCAGTAAACTTCCCAACAGCACAGGAAACCTCCCAGAAGGGCTGGCTCCCAGGAGAAGCCCTCTGCCCCTCTGCCCCTCTGCCCCTCTGCCTTCGGCAAAACTTCTCCCAAAACTGTTTTTTCTGAGTCTCTTGACTTTCCCCCCTCTTTTCCGGTTTCTCTTTCCAAACATCAGCCAGTCTGCCTGCCTCACTCATCTTCCTGCGGCTTCCTCCTCTTTGCTCGGCCCCTCTCTCCCTCTCTCCCTCTCTCCCTCTCTCCTTCTCTCCCTCTCTCCCTCCCCTGCCCCAGGACCCTGCTCCTCTGCCCACCCCACTGATCCCGGGCCTGCCTTCCTCCCTCCATACAGGGCTTCAGCAACAACTGGCTTCGAGTGGTGCCGCGGACCCGGTTTGGGGCCTTCGCCAGGGGGGCGAAGGTCGTGCTCTACACCAAGAGGAGCGGGGCCCACCTGAGGATCATCGACGGGGGCTCAGGCTACCTGTGCGAGATGGAGCCCGTGGCACACTTTGGCTTGGGTGAGTCAGGGCCAGGGGAGAGTGTGGGCCACGAGCTGTTAACAGGACAGTGGGCCCTGAGTGATGCAGGACTCACGGCTCCAGCATCTTCCAGGTACCATGTCATTGTGACAGCGATAGCAGACACCATCTATCGGAGGCAACCCCGCTCTGAGATCAACCTGAACTTGGGAAGGAGGTTTTCGCCTTGGCCAGTTTGGCTCAGTGGTTAGAGCGGAGGTCTGTGGACTGAAGGGTCTCGGATTCAATTTCGGCCAAGGGCATGCACCTCGCTTGGTTGCAGGCTCGATCCCGGCCCTGGTCAGGGCATGTGCGGGAGGCAACCAATCGATGTGTCTCTCTCATATCGCTGTTTCTCTCTCTCTCTCTCTCCCATTCTTTCTGAAAAGCAATGGAAAAAATATCCTCGGGTGAGGATTTAAAAAAAAAAAGGAAAGAGAATTTCCTGCCCCGCCCCTCACAAGGGTCCCCTCCCTGGTGCCTCTGTCAAATTATTCACCTTGGGGTCAAAGTATTTAATTCTCCATTTGTCCAGGCTATGACCTTGTTCTTCAAACACTGGCCTGCACCACACTCATCCAGCCCAGCTGTATCTCTGGCCTCTTGAGTGTTGGCTCAGTGACTAAAGTGTCTCTCCAAACCCCTGGTGACAGTAGCAAACACTGTCAAGGATGCAGAGAAATGGGATCTCTCATACATTGTTGGTGGGAATGTAAAATGGTACAGCTATTCTGGAAAATACTTTGCCAGTTCTTTTAAAAACAAAAACCTAAACACACAACTACTATCAGACCCAGCAATTATACTCCTGGGCATTTATCCTAGATGAGTGGAAACTTATGTCCACAAAAAATCTATACACGATTGTTCATAATAGCTTTATCTGTGACAGCCCAAACTGGAAACAACCTAGATGGCCTTCAATAGGTTAACAGTTCAACAAACTGTGGTCTACCCACACCATGGACTATTACTCAGCAATAAAAAGGAATGAACTATTGACACACACAACAACCTGGATAGCTCTCAAGGGCATTATGGTGAGTGGAAAAAAAAAGGGCCAATCTCATAAAGTCACATACTGTTGATTCCATTTATATAACATTCTCGAAACGACAAAATTGTAGAGGTGGAACATAGATCAGGGGTTGCTGGGGGTAGAAATGGTGAAAAGGAGAGAGGTGGGTGTGCCTGTAAGGGGATAGCCCAAGGGAGGTCTTGGTGGTAATGGAGCCGTTCTGTATCCTAACTGTAGTTGCGGGTGCACGAATCTGCATGTGGTAAAATGACATAGAACTAACCATCCACACACCTTGTACCAACGTCCATTTCCTGGTTTTGACCTTGTGCTATAGTTCTGGGAGATGTAATCACTGGGGGGACCCAGATGAAAGGTATGCAGGATCTCTCTGTACTGTCTTTGCAACTCCCGGTGACTCTATAGTTATTTCAAAATAAAACATTTTTAAAGAAATGCATTGAGGGAGGGAATTAGGAAACTAAAAATCTAAAAAGGCTTCATAAGGAGGATGGACAATAATGGAAAAAATGTTGACAAACACTGGGGTATTTGTGGGGTGGGGATGCAAGAGTGTCTTTACTAAAACACAGTGGTTAAGAAAAGCATTTGAGCCAAATATACGTGAGTTCAAAATCAGACACCCTCCCCCCTGTGTTAGTACCTCATGAGGTGATACAATGTTAACATTAAAAAAATAGGCCATATGGCCTCAAATTAATAAATATATGTATATGTTAATATTATTCATACAGCATCTGTGCATAGAAAAAAGGGAAAGAAAATGCAAAAAGTGTGTTCTCGCTGAGTGGCTGGACTAATATGGTGACTTACTCATTGTAGGCACAGAGGCACTTAACTCTCACTCTTCATGTCAGACTCGCGATTACCCTGTGAGATGGGCATTATTTATCCCCATTGTACAAATGGGAAAACTGAGGATCAGGCAATTAAGAAACCTGCTCAACCAAGATCACGTGATAGGTAAATGGCAGAGATAGGATTCGGATCCAGACCTGCCTAAGTATGGGATTTTTATTTTCTTCCATATGTTTTTTTATGTGTGTGTTTTCCAATTTTTATAGGAAACACATAATTTTTATGCATTCTGGAAAAGAAGCATAAATATTTAGGGGACCCAAGGCCCGGTTATATGAGCATGTTCCTGGGCTATTTCACCCTGGAGGGGTTGGCCTGTAATCGGAGTATTTATCACTTTCAAGGCAACCATTTGCTATGCTGGCCTTAAAAGTACAAGACGTTAGTTTTGCTCTGGGCGGTTTTCCCAAGAAAATGGGTCTAGAACTAGGTCTAGAAGGATGGTAAGAGTTTAGAAGCTGTGGATAGGGGGCTGAGGAGAGCATTCCAGGGACAACACTGGTTTGAACAAAGGCCCAGAGACGGGTGCTTAGTGCGTCCACAGAATGGGAATGGTCTGGTGGGAGCGGAACCTGGAAAGGGAGGCCAGGGCCAAACTGCCAGGGGCACCCAGAGCCAGGCTGAGAGGGCAGGTGGAACAGAGCAGGCCTGGAGAGCCAGGAAAGCCAAAGCCAGGCTTTGCTGTACAAGGGCAGGGCTTAGAAGGAGCCCAGGGGCCACTAACAGGGTACAGTATTTGTCGTTCTCTGTCTGATTTATTTCACTTGTGTAATACCCTCTAGGTCCATCCATGTTGTCACAAATGGCAAGATTTCATTCTTTTTTATTGCTGAATAATATTCCTGTGTGTGTGTACCACATCCTCTTTATTTATTCTCTGTTGATGGACATCTAGTTTGCTTCCATCTCTTGGCTATTGTAAATAATGCACAATGAACATAGGGGTGCATATACCTTTTCGAGTTAGTGTTTTTGTTTTCTTCATTTAAATACCCAGAAGTGGAATTTTTGGATCGTATGGCAGCTCTATTTTTAATATTTTTGCTGCACTGTATTTCACTGTGTGGCAGCATTCATAATTTATCTATCAAGTTCTCTATTTATGGATAGTTTGATGATTTTCAACCCTGCACAGTTTGTTTTGTGGAGTTTGGGGTGAGAAGGGGCATGTCTAGAACATGAATGCAAGAAAGTCCTGCCTTAAAGGTCTGAATTACTGAGAAGTAGATGCGGGGCCTAAAGCTGTGCCAGAAAGCAGAGGTATCTATAGGGAGAGGGCTGCGGGAAGCTCCCCTTCCAGCACTCACAAGGCTCCTACTCACCCCAACTGACCCTGCTTCCTTCCTGCCTCCATGAATCACCTCCGCCTCCTTCTAAGGCCACGTGTGGTGAGTGCGTGAACATATATATGGGTGCACACGTGAGCCTCTCAGCGACAGCCTCCTGGGTGCCCTCCCCCAGCCCCCCACATCCTCTGGCTCATCTCTGCACCGGCAGGAGCTGCAGGCCTTGCTCACACTGAGCTGTGGTTAGAGGACTCAGCTGCTCAGACCCTCTGTGTACTGCACTCTGGGCTGTGTGGAATCACACAATAAAAATTCAAGGAACTCACTGGATGTTTCATTCTCTAGGGGGTTCCTGGAGGGCCCACTCTGTTGTGCAGAGCACGCTCAGCTTCATCCTGCAGAACTGTCCTTTCTGGAGGCGTTAGCCTGCACCCCAGCCACCCCTGCTCAGTGAGGCCCCCGGCCTGCTTCTCCTCGCCTCCACTCTGCTCTGGCTTCTCCCTGCTCCTCCTGGTGCAGATGGCCAGCCAGGCTCATCAATAAGCGTTTCCACTCACAGCCTTCGCTGAGTGCCCCCGCTGCCCCCGCTTGCTCCTGCACACCCACTCCTGCATATCCCACACCCTGGCTCTTCATTTCCTAGCTAGCAGAGGCATGCGGCAGCTCTGCAAAACCCAGAAAATGAAAACAAGTACCAATAATCTGCTTGCCCCCGCTGACCTCCATTAGGGGCTCCCCCACTCGGCCAGCCCACCCCAGGCATT